AAGCATAGATTCACACTTAACATTTACACTTTTTAAACTCACATATAGCATTTTTTGCCTTGCAGAGCATTTAGACTCACATTCAACATTTACATTTTACAAACTCACATACAACGTATTAATATCTACTTATTTATACTCCTTAAGGAAACTATAGAACTACTTTAGCAAATATATTTATTACTTATGTATTTCTTATGTTCTTATTTAAACTTACATTTACAACTAGCATCTTTACTTCTTACAAGCTTATTACTACATGTCTTAAGACTACCTTAGATACTTCTTGCAAGCTTATATTCTTAAAGGAACTCTATAGATCTATTTTACAAACTTATATAGGGCTACCATTAGCATATATCTAATTTAGCAAACATCTAAAGATTTCTTAACACAGATTTAACAAGACAGAATTTTTACAAACTCACATATCTTATTTTCATCTTTTTCTATTTCTTACTCTTAATTATTATTACTATCTCTATTAGAAAGATTTTCTTAACTAGACAGGAAGTACGTACATCATTGCTAAAGTTTAGAGTTTATAGTCAGCTTTGTTATAAAGCACTGGGATTTAGTGAGTGTTGTTATAGAATTGTGATAGTTGTTGCTAGGGGACTGTAACCTTCCCAGGACAAAGTCACACTCCAAAGTTGTCAGTTCTCTCAGCCATTCCAGACCGGCAGAGATGCACTGTCAGCGGTAGACGGTTTTTAACTAGAGACTGTCCCTTCACCCAAATTCATAATAGCTCCCCTAAGTACTTCAATTCAGACAAACGTTTCTATTACAGCAGTACTTTTAGTTTGTTCTACGGAAAAACTTCACTTCACACTGAGGGTGAAATTACCGTATTTAGCTGCTGTAAAGCTCTTCACCAAATACTGCACAGCTATTAGGTGATATAAAGTATTTTTCTAAAGGAGCTAGTAAAGCCACGAGTGGCACAGCTCCAAACTGTATTTAGCATTTTTCACTTCATTAGCTTTAACTCCTGATGTTATTAGCAGCTGTAATATTTAGCATTGATTTTTTTATAAGGAACTTTCAGGTGAAGCAACCCTTTTGTAAGACAGCTAGATTTTCTGAAGTTTGTTTCACATCTATAAAGCAGTCATTTCTTTTTTGAATGCCTATTTCTTATCCCCTTAATTAGATTTGCAAAGGAATTACTCATTGCAGGCAGTTTGTTCAAAAGGCAAAGAACTTTTTTAATTTCAACATAAGTTTCTTCATATCTAAGACAACGCTCAGTGTATAAACTGCTTTCTCTTGTTTTAAGGATTTTAAAGTGGCTTGTTTGCTCTTAAAGGTAGCTTTTTGTCTTCCAACTACTGTAAAAACTTTGCACAGCTATTAGGGTAAATAAGGCATTTTACCAATGGAGCCCCAAACCGTGAAGCACCTAGTTCCATATCCTTTCAATTTTTCCAATGGAACTGACACTTAAACGATTTTCCTCCTTATTCTTTTAAAAGCTGTATTTTAAATTTACCATGAACGTATTTTCGAGCTGACAAACGTGTTTCAGGGCAATGTTGCCATCTTTAGTGGAAAAACTACCTTTCCCAGAATGCATTTCCCTTATATCAGTCCATAATAATATCAGTCCCTTATATCAGTCCCTTATATCGTTTCCCTTATATCAGTCATTTCCCATAGTTCTTTTCGGGTCTGAGAGTCAACTGGTTCTTTTACCAGACTTGCTTACAAATTCTTGCCCGGGAGATTTGAACAAAGTTTTTTGCTTTTGCAATGGGAGATTTGAACAAGCATTTTACACTTTCAATTATGGGACATTGGGAGATTTCTATTCTCTCCTCAGCTGGCTTTAACAGGTGTCTCTCCTTCATTTGACACTGGCCCCCAAATCAGAACCACACCTGCCTCTTTAGTGCGCATTGAGGTGGGCAATTTCTGATAGCAACTTTCCTCGGGGCTTGTGTTTGTCTTAGCCAGTCAGTGAAAAACAAAAGCATTCACAACAGCTTTTCCATAGCTCTTTCAGAGATTTTCTCCCACTGACTTTATTCTCATTTTGCTTGTTCCTTCCCCCTCAGATGCAGAGCTTCAGGTATCTGTCTGCGGCTCTGTACCTCTGCTAGCTGCCTTTGGAGGTAGGGGCTTTTTTTCTCCCTCCGAATCCACCTCAAATTCTAGCAGCTTTTCACAGGTCATGTATTTTCTGGGGAGGAATACGCCCCTTCTGTTTCTTTGGAGCCTTTTTCCAGACAGTTCCCAGTTTGGTCTCAGTTTACCCCCTCTACCCCAGAAACAGTTTCCGACACTACAGTGGCGGCTTTCCCTGCTACTGAAGGTAGGGCTTTTTTGTCCGTTTGTTTTCGGGGTCTGCATGGTTTGCGTACAGACTGAAAATCTGACAAGGGAGGTTTTGGCCATTTCTAAACTCCCATTAGGACAGGTGTTTTGCCTCATCAGGCCTTCACCTGGCCCAGTCCCCCAGTGGGTTGCATTTGATTGTCTGGGTGCTCAAGGACAGGGCTTAGGCCAGAGGCAATCACCCCTCAGGGCTACACTCCCTCATCTCAGGGAGTGAGTTGAAACAAAGCTTTTCTCAAAAAGATGCTTTCTCGGATAGAAAAGAAAACTTTACTCCTGGATAGTTCTGTTCTGCCCTGGCTGGGCTCTCCCCCAAGACAGTGTTCTGACTCAGCAGCACAACTGCTTCAGACAGTTCAGCTTTACTGTTTTCCCAGAAAGGTCCTTACTCTGATAGGAAAGCTTTTCTCAGATGTCTTTTTGCAGTTGTGGACCTATCAACCCGGGACTTGTAGGAAAGCAGACAACTGTGCCGTTCCCACTGGCTTTAGTTTTGTTTGTTCATTAGCAATCTTCCCCTGGGTCCCTGCACCTTCCTGCCTCAGCTCTGTGCTCCAGGAAGTTTGCAACTGCAGGAACCCTAGTATCCCCGAAATACACCCCAACTCAGAGACGCTGGCCAGTCGCCTCTGGGTTTTTGGTCAGAAGCAAGGATACAATGCTAACAGTTTGCATGCTTCAGGGGATCTTTGCATTAGGACAATTAGGAGCACCTTTTCATTCTGAAATGCTCACTCAAACAAAACCCTTGTTGCCTCAGCTGGGCATAACTGAAAAGCTTGACTTTTTTGCTTTTCTCAGGTAGAGTTTCAGGCCCTTTTGGGTTTTCTGTAGCTCTTTACCCACACTCTCCCAAGTGTTTCCCTCAGGGTACTCTGACCCACTGTCTTTTACTAGTTTGAAGAGACAGCTTAGAAGAGGTTTTTAGGAACTTGTCCCTGCCTCCTGCATTGCAGGGAGGATTTTTAAAGCTTGAAAGAGAACTTGGAGAGGTTTTGCTGTCTTAAGAGGTTTGTTGTTTTCCCTTTGAGCTAATCACAGGTGGTCCCCATACTAATATCTTCAGGTGATTCTAATTTTTGTCCTTCTGAGAAAGTTAAAGGCTTTAGTTTTTAAGTTTGAGAGCTTTTAGTTTGAGAAAGATTAAGGCTTTTTTAGAGAGATTTTCCCCCCAAATTTTCCAAGAAAAGCTTTATAGTTTAAGAAAGATTTTTTCCCCCAGGAGAAAGAAAGACCAACTTTTCCCAAAACTTCCCAACTTTAAACTTTGGCTTTTTACACCCCCATTTTTGCCTGAGGGAGAAATCACTTTCTCCTGCCACTTGGACTTAGCATTTCAGCTGTCCCCAGGTCAAAAGCTTCCACAGGAAACTTATTCTTCCCCATAAGCTCAAAGAAGAGCTTTTTTACTACCCAAAAAGCCCAAAGAAAGTTTTTCCCAGTTTGTGTTTATAGCCCCCAAAGTTAGAAAATTGTAGAGTTTTTCTGTCTAGTTGACTTTTTTCCTACATGATCTTACACTTCTAAGTTTTTCCTACACTATATTACTACCCTATACCTTATACTTATTTTTCGCAGATAGAAATTGAGAAAGGGATAGAAGATAGAAAATTTTGACAGAAGAGAATTTCGCTGTAGCATCGGACATCCTTCCAGTCCGCTTTCCTTTTCTCTCGAGGATAAAATCCCTGCCTCTCAATATATATAAAAAATATATATTTTCCATAACACCGGCATGCCTTATCCACTGGCAGGGCTGAACTCAGCACTTTCGCCAAAAACTCTGTAATAAAACTATTATTTTCCTTTATCTTTAGTCCCTATTACTTTGTCTTTAGCCCCTGTTCATTTGTCCTTAGTCCCCCCTTTTTTTAGTCCCCCCTTTTTTTCTTTAGTCCCTTTTTTTTTTTCTTTAGTCCCTGTTCATGGCGCCATTCTGTGGGGCGTTTACCCAACCACCCCCACAGTTCCCCAGAGTTTTCTTGAGTGCGAGCAGCAGGAAATATTAGATAGAAGGATTTATTGCGGAGAATATCGTGGAGATAAACAGATAGAAAATAAAGGATAGCCTCGAGAGGGCCTGGAACCTATTCCAACCAGCCCGACTGTCTCTGCCCCAGGGTTTTTATAGAGACGCCAAGGGGTGGAGCAAAAGACCTCCTCCCCCAGCACAGCCAAGTGCAGACCATCTCAGACACCTGCACTCAGGCCCGTGGTCTAATCATCCTCTATGCAGACCTGCTGGGTAAAGCCACGAGGAACCTGAGAACAGGCTCCCACAATGATGCCCACTTATTCTTGACTGGATCTAAGAAATAACAGCCAGTCATTAGGCCCTGATTCCTACCCCCAAGGACATACCTCTAATGGGCAGCTCATGGGAGCATCATAGGGTCACACTATTGTTAAATCCTGGTCTGCCAAATCTTTCTTGTGCCCAGAGACCTCAACTTAAGGTCATAATTTAAAATCATACTTCAAGGGCCAGTGAGAACTTTTCCTTTATCCATGAAGTATTTTAAATTATATTTTTAAGTTCTTAAGTGTTAAATGTGATTTTCCTAATTTTTTTCAGTTACTGATTTCTAGTTTGGATCTACTGTGGTTAAAAAAAAACAAACTGTATGATTTCAATTTGTCTATATTTAATGATGTTTATTGTATGCTCCAGAATATCATCTAATTTTTTGTACATGAATGTTCAATCCAACTTTTTGTGATAAGTACAACTCAAATGCCCACAATAAGTAAACTGAAAAAAAATCACATTATTTCCATACAATAGAATACAACTCAGAAATTATTTTAAAAGATGTTAATACATACAGCAAAGAAATTAGACCACATAGTACATACTACATGAACTGTATTTATACACAATTCTAGAAAATGCAGACTCTTCACTAGATACAGAATTTTGAATGATGTGGTGAGTCAGCTTCTCAGTATGTAGCTCAGGCTAGCTTCAAACTTTCAATGAAATCTAAGCTGACCATGGACTTCAGTCTTCCCTACTCTGCATTCCAAGCATTAAAATTATGGGTGTGTGTACCACTATTCTTGGCTTTGGTAATCTTTCTCTTTCTTCATTAGAAAAATACTATGCTACTTCCTTCCAGCTTCCAGGGTTTCTAAAAGGTACCTACTGTCACTTAATTTGCTGTAACTCTTTGGCTATTTCTATACATATGATTGTCTCAGTTAGGGTTTCTATTGCTATGAAGAGACACCATGACCATGCTAACTCTTATAAAGAAAAACATTTAATTAGGCTGGCTTACAGTTTCGGAGGTTTAGTCCAGTATCATCATGGCAGTATCATATGGCAGTGTGCAGGTATAGGTGGTACTAGAAAAAGAGCTTAGAGTTCTACATCTTGATTTGCAGGCAGCAAAAGCAACTGAGTGTCACACTAGATATAGTTTGAGCATATAAGACCTTAAAGCACACATCTATACTGACACATTTCCTCTACCAAGGCCATACCTATTCCAACAAAGCCACAACTCCTAATATTGTCATTCCCTTTGGGCATTCAAAAACATAAGTCTATGGGGGCCATATTCATTCAAACCATCACAATGTTCTACCTTGTTTATTTGAGTGTAAGTATGCTGTGACTTGGCTGTTCTGGGTAGAGAGTCATATGATGCAAAGCTAACACGTTTTCAGCCCTGCTGTCCCTATTTACTGATTTTCTCTTTCTTCTTCTGTTGTTGCTGCTTTAATTATCTCCAGGGAGATCTAAATGTACAATATGTTGTTCAAACTAGAGGCTTAATTATATTTTTGAAACCTCACTTTTCTGTCTGGAAAATCAATTGTAAGTCTAGAGAGAATCTGAGAAAAACAGCATGAAAAGAATACAATAGTCCAGCAAACAAATGGTTGTGAGTTTTCGCCCTCTTTGTTTTGAGAAACTGAGAAACAGTTTCATTCAGTAACACAGGATGGTCTGGAACTCACTATGCACTCTAGGTTGACCTTGAACTTGTGGCCTTTATGTCTCAGTGCTGGGATTATATGCATAAGCCACCATGCTAAGCTAACAAATGGTTAAACTTTTAACTGAAATGAAAACCAAAAAATATATAAACAAATAAAGATATTTGGGGTTCAGTAAGTGACTCCCTGGGTAAAGATGCTTGTCATACAAGCCTGATAATGTGAGTTCAATCTCCAGACCCCACGGTCAGGGAAGAAAATCCACTTCTGAAAGTTGCTTTCTGACCTCCACATGTTTATCTGGCATGCACTCCACAACAGTAATAAATAAAACAAAATATTTAAAAACAAGAGAAAGCAAACAAGACACACTATTGTGCTGATGTTGGGAACTTCGGTCTTGAGCAATGAACAGGAAAAGAGCACTATTTAACTATTTTTTGCAGAGTACCTCCTTATATCCATATTTAGAACAACTTCAGTAAAAATACATTCTTTTCTAAATACAAAGGCTCTAAGATTCCATTTTTTGATTGGAGGGAGAATTACTCAAAGAAAAAAATGCATTAAGTTTGGCTACAGGGATGGCTCATTGGTTAAGAGCAAATACTGCTCATGCAGAGGACCTCAGTTTGGTTTTCAAACCTACATTCAGTGTCTTGCAACCATCTGTAATTCCAGCTCCAGGGCATCTGATGCCTCTGGTCTTGCTCTATCCCCCCCCCACATACACATAATTAAAAAATAATTTTAAAGTCTTTTAAAATTCACCATGCCATACCTATATCTTTCAGTCTCACATCTACAAACTAAGGACCTCCCAGTTATATGTAAGTTATCAATATTAATTGACTGGGTTCCCTGAAATAGAGTCAGTTTTCATTAATCTCCACATAAACAACAGCCCAAATGGGGGTTGTCTTTTATTGCTTAATCTATCAATTTGCAAAGGCTTAAATACTAACACTTGAATTGTGGTAAATTGTTGTAAAAGAAATTCAAAGTGATAAAAATTGTTATTATAAAGAACTTACTAATAGATTTGCTTGGGAGAGATTAAGTCACACAAGTGAAACTTTGCCTAAGTATCACTAGCTACAAAACACCTCAAAGATAAGCAGCATGCTCACCAGGCCTATTACAGATAAGTAAAATTTATGATGCTAGAATGTGAATGTTTATTCACCAGGACTGGCCCTGATTCCTGTACCAAAGATATACCTCTAAGGGATAGCTAGAGTTGGAGCAGAATAGAATCATAGCCATCATTAATTTCTGGTCTGCCATTAAGTCTCCTATGTTCCTATCAGGAAAAACAAATTCTGTTATAGGGAGCCTACCAGAGAAGACTACTCAGACACAGTTTATGTCCAGTTGAAAGTCTTTATTCCAGCCAGCTGGGACTAAACTCAGGTATTCAGGACCCAAGAATAGCACTGAAAATTTAGAGTAAGGGGTTTTTTAAGGCAAAACTATACCCTGCTATCTCGCTTAGCAGCTGCAGAGGGAGGTTTACACAAGCAAGCAGTTTAACAGAAGCTAAGATAAGCAATTAGATGGAGGGGGAGGTTTGCACAAGCAGGCAGTTTAACAGAAGCCAAGATAAATTAGCTGGAGCGTCTTGAATTCAGGTTGCTAGAGTTCGGTAATTTTCCACAGAGCTTTCCATCAAGGAGATGAAATTCTAGTCAAACCTAAAACAGCTTCCACAAGAATATAAGATGGAGGAACCTCTGTACCATCTTGCTCTGTCACACGTCTGCCATGTAGAAAGGAAGACCCCAGGTAACAACTACTCAAAAAGGAATAACACTGGTATACCTAAAAATAATTATGGTGATATCTGTGCTATATAAATCTCCTATCTGCCTAAGTGGCCAGACTTGAAGTCTCCTGACTGTTTAAATTGTTCAAAGTGTAACCTTGGGCCAGTAGAGAAAAAGATTTTAGGATGACAGTGTTTGTGGGATGCATAAGCCTAAGGTGTATATAAGTCAGTAAAATCTTCCATTCATTTCTGACTCTTATTTGGGCATTAGCCACAGTCAGCCATGTGCACTTTCGTTAAGAGCCTTCACTCTATCTCTAAGTGTGTAGAGTGATTTCTCACTGAGAAGGCATATTATTTCTATAACAGGATAATGGGTAATTAATATGTTCCTCCACATCTATTTTACCCAGATTTCCAGAAATTTTCCAGAAAGCCACTGATCATGGACGAATAAAATGCCTTATTCTGGTCTTTATTTTCATCTCTGGCCTCCAACCTGCAACATCCTATGGCAACTGGAAACCAACTCTGTGGGTTGCTAACTAAATAAACAAGTTGCTAGGCAACCTCACAATTTGAAATCAAGTGGGTAAGAAAGACAAAGAACAGTAGAAGTTTGCATGACAAAGGGTGAATAGAATCTTTTTGGAATCAAAGAGATGAAAATTTGAGTCTCCACTCAATTTGCAGCTGAGTCACCCTAAGTAAAATCATTTAATCCCCACTTTAATGAACCAAGGCAAGTCCAATCCAATCAGGAATTCGAATTATTTGCTATGTATAAGAAGATCACAGTGCACCTTTGTTATTACCTTGTTTTCTGTTCTGTTTCCTTTGTGCTCTTTTTTCAACCCAGGGACTCTTTTATTAGGCAATCACTTTACCACTAAGCTATATTCCCATACGATTGCTATTATCATGACTCTCCATGATGCCCTTCTGTTCTCCATTTGCCATGTGGAAACTAGAGTGGGAATGGACTGTCTTACCCCATTCCTATTTTCTTGTTTGTGTTTTCTGATCAAAGTTTCAGAGAGGATTGAAGGTAAGGAAGGAATGATTCTGTTCTATAAAGAGGTTCATAAATTGCAAACATGCCTCTCATAGCCCCATACCCACCCCCACCTACCAAATCACCATGCATGCACCTACCTTTTTCCAGCGGACAGGTATCAGTCTTGTCTCTGTACCTTCTCTGGCCATTTTTCTTGACATTCCAAAAATGTTTAGCACCCATAAAACTTCTCCTCTAGGATGTTACCGCTCTGCCTGACATGGAGGATTACTTTGACAAAGTGTATATATCTATAATGTGCCTCCCCAGATCACTGAAATTCTTTTGTTTAAAATGTAATTCCACCTCCCAGTTGCCATGGGAATCACCAAAATCATCAAATTCAGTGTTCCAGTCTTTTAAAAAGTACTTCAGTGGACAAGATTTGCTACCTCAAACATTGAGCAAACATTCAAAATTCCCTACAGTACCACTGTGTAGAAACTTGAAGGACTGTTTTACAGGTGTTTCTGGTTCAAGAGGTTGTAGTACTCATGACAACCACAACCCTTTCATTTGCTTCTCCTAAATAGTCCATTGCTAAAGATAATTAAAGTGTAATTTGGATCCCCACTCCCTACCCTACCTTTCATTTTCCAGCATGCCTATGTTCTTGGTCCTTTATTTAGTTGTGGGTTAACTTTGTGGCTGATCATTTGGCCACAATTAAAAGTGTACTTGTCTTGTTAGGTCCCGGAAATAGAAACCTAATTAGGTACCTTTTTCTTGGTATCAATTCAGTGAGAACAATTATGTTCTAGGAATTTCTGTACCTTCCAGTACTGAAGGGTGACACACCCTAGCTTCTGAAGTTTGTATACAAAGGAACTTACCTAATCCTAACTGCCTCAGGTTGCAAGGAAAATAAAGAAAAAGTGAGAGCATATGATTTCCATGTAAATAAATAAAGAAATAGCAAGATAATTTTGATTCCATTCTCTGCCTCTCCACTACCCCTACCCCTTGACAAGAGTTTGCTGCTAGCACACGGCTTCCTGGGAGCATGGGCTACATTCCAGATGTATTTTCTATTACTGCTTGAGAGACAGAAGCTTGAAGCTATCATCAAGAATGGACCTCCTGTTGCGCCGAAGCTTTCTTTGTCGATGCTGGTGCCAGACTACACCACCAAGAGCCAGAGCAACAAGAAGCAGAATTACACACATGGCAATCAAAACAGAAGACAGAATCTCAGCATCCTTTATGGCTATCTTCATGCCCAGCATCTTCACATTGCCCCCTCCGATGTCTCTTAGGATCACTGCTGAAGTGAGGGAAGAGGAAAGGGATACCCATACATGAGGTTACCTTCTACAGACATCTCCAAGAAAAATAAGTCCATGAATATAGGACAGAATATCTGTCCCCATTCTTCAAACCAGCTGATGAAGACAGATTTCAAATTTATAATCAGATAATTATAATATCACAGCTGGAAGCTCTCCTTGAAAATCAGTGATGTACCTATTCTGTTTGCCCATGGGAAGAGCTAAGAGTCACTGGAGAATACTTAAAATGCTATAGAAAAAATAAATAATTAGACTTGTTCTGCATGGACTCAGAGGGTAGAACTAGGAAACTAGTGAAACTACATGAAGAACGTTAAATCAAGCCAGCTTATCCATGTTCATTTTAACCATTAGACTGTGACAGCGTGCCACCATGCTGTCTGGACTCCCATCTTTGTGAATCATGTTAATAGTAATATCAGGTAACTCTTTTTTGATGACTGTCAAATAGTTTCTGTCATATAAACATTCCACTGTCTTCAATTGAACTATAAGGCAAAGCTCAGAATTTTAAGTTACACATTTCAACCATCTCAGTCAGGGTCTAAACTACCTTTCTAATATTAATCTACTATTATTCAACCACAGAAACTCAGTCTTCATTTCCCATAAAATATGGCACCTCCATGGGTTCTATCTTTGTTCAGACTTCTTACTTTGCCTGAATACTTCCCTCTCCTTTGTAGCTCCATGTTACATGGCTGCAATTAATGGTGCCTTCCTCTAGGGTTCCAAATTGCCTGTGTTCTTTCTAAACCTATGGTTTATCTAGTCTGTGACCTAGGGCTAAGTGGCCGAATCCCTAATGAATCTTAGTTTATTCTTTTTATAAAATGTAGATAATGATAACCATGCCTAACAAAGGAGATTATTATCAGATTTAAATGAGTTAATAATATGCATGGAATATTTAGCATGGCACCTGGTAAATAGCAAATATACAATAATTATAAGATAGTATTACTGTTTACACGTTCTGTGCCCAGCATCTAGCATTACAATTATTGTTTCTGTGTCTCATTCCATTTTTAGGCACTGGAAAGTAGCAATTATATCTTATTTGTTTTTGTGCCCCTGGTAATTGACACTTGTTTGATGAACGCATAATTGGATGAATGAATGTTCTCACAGAACTGGAAGAAGATGCACAGTAATGAGTTCAAATAGAAACTGGAAAGCATTCTGGTTCTGAGTTTACATTCTGGCATTTATTCTTCTTGTGACCCTGAACAAACTCCCAATTTAGAAAATTAGTGAGCTTTATTATACCAAATATTTTGACAGTTTTTTCCTCAAGTGAGAGTTTATGAAAAATGCACACATTTTTATTTATGTATGTATACAAATGTGCACACATTATATACACATATGCACATGCACAAATATATGTTTATATATACACATATGTAACAAATGATAAATGTATACATACACACATATAGTTATATGACATTAGGTTACTTCAGTTGAAGGAAATGGGATCTGAGCACTGCCCTTTCTATCTTACATTACCTTTCTCCAACCTCTCCAGGATACATCCCAGTCCATAGTTAACAATTCATGAGACACTTAAGTAGATCATAGGGACTTTACTAATGAGAAGCTGGTTTTCAGTAGAGCTGAAAATCTCCAGAGTAAACTGATATTCTTTAGTATCCCTTTTATATGGGGTTTTTAATCTTTGGGGACATGGTCTCACTTTAAGTCTAGGCTTGTCTTTAACCTATGATTCTCCTGCTCTCCTTCCCAAGTATGGGGATATCAGGGATGATAGCACACATGGGTCTAACAGTCCTTGTACCTCACACAACTTTTCTGAATCTTTCTGGTAAAAGACACAAATGGAGTAAACAATTAAACAATAATTTTGACCTACACATCATAGGAAAAGTATATTTTCTTAAAGAGAAACAAACAAATGGTCCCCAAGCTACAATTCCTTGGTATTCTATAGAGAAAAGAGAGAAGAATAAAAGTAGTTGTTAAAGGACATCTGGTATTTGTTCTAGTCTCACATTATTCATGTAGCAATCTTTGTTTTTGCTGTAACTCAGGTCTGACCTAGCCGGATTTGGAATTTTCTTCTCCCTCATAAAATAGTTTGTGAGCTAAGAATACAGCTTTCTATGTGGCTGTTTTCCCAAGCTCAAAAGGTTATGGGTGATACAAGGTGAATAAACATGTTGACGGTAACTAAATCCTAGTTCATTGGCTTTTAACATCTTACAGAAATCTTAAGGTGTTATATTATGGTGCCCAAGTTTAGTCATGTAGGAAATGCTAGAAGTATCATATATTATACACACACACACACACACACACACACACACACACACACACACACACACACACTCCACATGTAACTTCTCAGTGTATATATATCATCCAACATACCTTTTCCAATTTCTTTGGTAATGGTAGTCATAGTACTTAAATGTTCTGTGGGAAAAGACAAGAGGTTGATCCTATTATTCTTTGTACTAATCTATAAGATTTCTATAGGATATTTACATTACTTGAAGCAATTTCTCTTTGGAATTTACTACTTTATTAAGGTCTCTCTGATTGGATTTGATACCTGCTCTAAGAAAACAAGGAAATCCATGCCTGGTACTTTAAACAAAGTCAAAAAACCATAGTAGGGCAGATCATAGGTCTTGTGTGGTAGGGGTATACAATACTGTTGTTTATCAAATTAACATAGCATCAAGCCACATCCTAATTATTTACATTTATCCTTTTAGACATATGATACTCTCAGCTTAATGAAAGAAGACTCTTGCCTGTGAATAATGATGAATGCAGAGGCCTATCGCTGCACAGGTGCTCAGATCTAAACAACACATTTATACTATCCACTGTAAGGCTTTAGGAACGTGGAAGAAGTGTCACAAAGAATGGAAGATATGGAAGATATGGAGAAGGGCTGCAAAATGTCATCTCCTGATCAAGACAAAGCCCCTGTAATCCCAAACTCAAAGCAGGTGTGGATGCCTGTCGTGAATCTATACAAGAATGACATTGTCAACAGTTAAGCATAGATGGAGAAGTAGCTCAGAGGTCTCTATTGCTCATGGCTAGACTTTGCTACAGATAGATTTAGGGAGAGTGAGGACCATTGCCTTCAGTTAAGTACCCACTGATGATCTCACCAGGCTCCAACAAATAGTTCCAATCCAATGGTCATGCAGATGGCTCTGATTAAACTGAATGTCACAAAACCAAACTAAAAGTTATGAATCTGAGAAAGGGACTGGTTGAGGTAGTTAAAGGGAGAGAGAGTAAGCAGAATACATTAACAGACATGCATGAAACTGTCAGGTAAGAAATTTCATCAGTAAAAACCAATATTAAAATGTTAATTTGATTTTGGGTGGTCACAGGAAACAAGGGCAAGTGCATAGACCTCGGAAACCAAAATATAACTTACTCATCTGCCTTTATTTCTGTGTTTCTTGTCCCTTTCTCTATCCTCATTAAATGCTGTATGATTTTTCCTCCACCATTTCCCACTATCCCTTCAGAAAGCCCCTGCTCTCTGTCAAATGTACTGCTCTACACATTCAATCCTGTCTCAAAATAATTCTTCCTTTCTTCCTTCAATGAAGCTGAGCTATTTTCTGAGGTATGTGCTATTTAAATATTGTTTCTCTCACTTGAGTAAAGAGGGATTTCTTTTGGGGACCACATTAACTAGCTAGAAAAACAAAAACATTTCTTGTTACTCTTATCTAGTAGTTCTTTTCATCCATGGAAGTCTTTGGTTATTGGTATAGTCTTTCTCGATTCCCATCCCAAGAATAGACACTTTCATTCTAGTGACTTGTATATTCACTCCAGTTTTACCACTCATGGTCAATCATGGTCATACTTGATTGCTCATCCAGACCTGCACCACAACAGAAATCCCAAATCTAATAGAAATATCTCTTTTTAATGCTTATTCTTTTGCTAGCAAAAATCCTGTTATTCTCCCCCTCATTAAACATTTTATTTCTAAAGCATTTGACTTCCCTGACCTACCCATTTCATCCATATCTTCTCTTCCACTAATGACCAGATTAGAATCCACAGTCCATAACTTCAAACACTCATATATGAAATCACAGTAACTATACTCGCCTTGTATTTTACCCAATATGCTGAATAACACCAGAAAAAAAAATACACATGTAAAAATTTGGATTCTCTGTGTCTAATTTTAACTAAGCCCACAGTGCTATAAGGCAATAATGACTTTATTTCTTACTCCAAAGTAGCTATCCTAACCCTTCTCCCAATTTCCTCAAATAGTTCCCCCTCAGCAGATGACTCTATAAGCTACATCACAGAGGAATCAAGAGAGCATAAGGCAGAAAACCTGTTTGCCAAGATCTCCTTCTAAACCTACACACTGATCCTCTTTGTTCTGTCTTCTCTCTTATCACAATAGAAAGATTCTCTTCCTCCAGTATTGTATTCATCCTTCATCTTAGATGTAGCTCATATGCCTCATAGCTTCATCATGAACTTTATCCAAGAAATAGGCTTTTTAGAAATTGGAAACAACCTAGAGGTCCCTCAATAGAAGAATGGGTAAAGAAAATGTGGTACATTTACACAATGGAGTATTCCTCATCTGTTTTTTTTTTTAAAAAAAAAGTACATCAGGAAATTTGAAAGCAAATGAATGGAACTAGGAAAAAAAATCATCCTAAGTAAGGAAACCCAGACCCTGAATGACAAAAATGGTAATATCCATTTATATGTGGATATTGACTGTCAAATTGATGATAACTAAACTACAATCTGCAGACCCAAACAGGGTAGGTATAAGCAATTAGATCTCATTAGGAAAGGGAAGTAGAACAGATAATTATGGATCAACACAGATGGGGGGCAGGAACAGAAGGATCAAGTGGAGAGGGGGTTGTGGGAGGGAATAGCAGGAGAAACAGCTAAAATTAAGTGACATTTGAGAGGTAGTATAAAAGCCTAATACAGTAGAAACTTCTTAAAATACATATATGAAGGTGATCTAAATGAAACAGCCAAATAACAAAGGAGGCACAGTGCCAGCTGGCCATCTCTTGTCACCAAACATTGTACCAGGATTGGGGTACATCTGATTGAGTTGTTGGCCAAAAGGGCCCAATGGGAAGGCCCAAACAACTCAGGCTATTGACAAGACTATAGATTGCTTGCCACAAACTGAGAGCAAGCCCCCATTGCTGAAGACAACACCTGCACAACTCATTGGACATGGAGAAGTTACGCTGGTGCCCACATACAAGCCTCCACCTCTAAGTTCTAGCTTCTTTGGTACAGAAATGTACTCTGCATGCTCTCAAAAGAAAAACACAAACACCAAGTCAGCCACAAACCCTTTGATCTACAATGGTGTCTTGCCTGCAAGATGCGCTAGTGCAATGGTGGCACAAAACTTGTGGGAGTAACCAACCATAACTGATTTAACTTAAGGTCCATTCCATGACATGGAACCCATACCCAGCTACCTAGGTGGCCAAGAACCAAAGACTAGATGGCCCAGTGACCTAGTGGAAAACTAATACTGGTCTACAAGAGGAAAACAACAACAACAACAACAACAGAAAGCACAGTGATTAAATGACTCCTAATGACATTCTGCTATAGTCATAGATCAATGCCTTGCTCAGCCATCATCAGAGAAGTTTTCTCCTACAGCATTTGGGAACAAATATAGAGAAGCACAGCTAGACATTATGCAGAGTATGAGAGATCTTGGAACAATCAGCTCTAAATGGGAAATCTCCATCAAATCCCTCCCAGCTCAAGAGCTCAGGGAACCCCAAGGAAGAGGCAGCAGAAAGAGTGTAAGAGCCAGTGAGGATGGAGGCCACGAAGAAAACAAGACCATCTAAATTAACATGAGCAAAGCTTACATGAACTCACAAAGACTAAGGCAGCATGTACAGGGCCTACATGGGTCTGCACCAGATCCTCTGTGTATATGTTATGGCTTTTAATTTAGTGTTTTTATAGAATTCCTGAGGGTACAAATGAGTTGGTCTCTGATTCTTGTGCCTTTTGGGTTCTTTTTCTTCTATTGGTTTGTCTTGTAAAGTTTTGATGTGACAACTTTTGTTTTATCTTATTATATTTTATTTTGTTATATCTTTTAAAAAATAAATGAAGTGATGAATTGTAATTAGCCACTAGTAATTAGCCACTAGGGTAAAGGTTAACAACTGAACACTCATTTATATCTGCTGGGAGAGGAAAAATCCATTTTCTCCAATGGAGTGATACTGGGTATATCAACCAGTCCAGGGCAGGCCTCATGGTCAGGAGTAGTTGACCAATGTATAATGTACATCACTGTGTGTGTGTGTGTGTGTGTGTGTGTGTGTGTGTGTGTGTGTGTGTGTGTGTGTGTGTGTGTGCTCATGGGTGCTTTTATTTAGTTACAGTTTGGTGGAGTTTTGTTACTTATTTTTCTATTTGGTTTTTCTTTCATTTTGCTTTTTTGTTTTGAGGAGGGTGATCTTGTGTGGGGTTTTTATTTGCTTCTTTTGAAAAAGAACTGAAATTTGGGTGGGTAGGGAGAGGGAGAAAATCTGGAAGGACTTTGGTGAAGGGGAAGAATATGGTCAGAATATACTTAAATCTAAAAATTTGTTTTAAATAATTAAAATAAAACCTTAAAAGAAAAAAGAGTTAGGCTTTCTCTATCTTTCTTTAACTCTATCTTCTGATTGCACTGTTAGCATATGTAGAGTCAGAGCAAAATGGGATCATTCATACTGAATAAAGAAATAAAACTGTAAACAGGTTAAGAGGTATGGGTTGGATCTTCTCAAAGGGTAATTTGAGGTACTCTGATGATACATATTGAGATGTTCTCATATTTTGAATGGCTCATATATGAGGATAACTTACAATGTAAGAAGAGAGCCTATTTTCTTGAATCTATAGCACCTTGATGGTGTGTCTTCTGGTCTGTGGACTGATAGAAAAAATGAAGTCTGGGTTCTGGGGAATTGTACCACAGTAATAAGTAAAAGCAACAGAAGCAATATTCTAGCATTATGATTTGTCAGAGAAAAACTCTTTAATGATAGGCGAAATCATATGTGCTATCATTTTGTCTTCTTCCATTAAGTTAAGAACAGAGTTGTATTCTGTACTGTAGTTTGCTATGTCTGTTTGAATAGTCAAAGGTAACTTCCCTTTCCATGTCTTTTGATAGAGTCAGGGGCTGCCAATCTCAGAATACTCTAATACCATTATTTTCCAAAGCGGTGTGATATATGAAAAAAACTTAAAAAACATCCATACAAGTAACATTATATGGACTGAGCTGGTTATAATTAGGAAAATATACGTATATATAGATATACATACATGCAATCAATAATAATTAATGGAAAAGAGGATCGTGACTTTGAAAAAGAGCAAGGGGGACTATATGCAAGGGTTTGGCGGGAGGAAAGGGAAGGGAGAAATACTATAATTATATTATAATCCCAAAAATAAAAACAAAGTAAAAAAATATGTATTGATCCAAAAGGCTTCTTGGAAGGGAGATAGTTAGTGCTGGTGGCTGGACATAGTTCATGTAGAAGAGAAACACTTAACATTTCACTTAGACAGAGATAATTCTGAAGAACTGTCATTCACAACCTTCACAAAGCCTTGATTAGAGTCTTCACTAGAATTATTTTCTTCTCTTTAGCAAAGGACTCACTATGATTTGGGGGTGTAAATCAATGAGCATGTCTGGGTCTGTGTGTGTCTGTGTGTGATGTGTTGTGTTGTATATATGCTCACATGTGTTTGTGCAGGTATGTGTGCTCATGCCCATGCATTCAAAACCTTTGCTTCATTGACAGAGTCTCCCATTGAACCCAGAACTTGCTGTTTGGCTTAGCTAGTAAGCTCTCAGCATTTTCCTGTCTTCATCCTGCAGCACTTGGGTTACAGGTATTTTGGTCACACCCAGCTTCTTTTAAATGACTGTAAACTTAGGTTCTCATGCTTGCTTGCAAACACTGTTGCCCACTCAGCCATCTTCCCAGCCCCACACACTTGTCTTTATTGACAATGACCACATTGATTCACTAAGAATTTCCTTGACATAGTACTTCTATTAGACATTAAATGATGAATTTGTAAATAAATAAACTAATTTTTTTGTCAAAGGGTGGTAAACCTACACTAGCAAAGAGCCCTCCCAGTTTCAGGCTAGGCCAACATATGTGAGCTTATTACATTTGCAAGGGAGAATGAGAAATGCAGCTTGGGGAAATGCCTAAACGGGCCCTGTTCTATGATAAATCCTGTTTCTTCTGGGCCAGTAGGGGGAAGTTCAAGTGGTCCCTTACTATTACCTGGTTTCTACAGGCTAGACAAAAGATTAGAAAATAATATACTTGAGTGGCTTGGGTCCTACCTTTGTGAGACAAGACAGTAAAGATGGTCTCCATGCCAGCATGAACATGGTCAGTCACATGGCAGTGCATTAGCCATGTCCCGGGGTTGCTGGCTACCATCTCTACAACCTCAAATGTCCCTGGGAAAAGATCCACAACATCTGCCCGGTAACTGTGCCCATTCTGCAAGAAAAATGATGGGGAGAAGAACTGAAAATTATAGCAACCAATTTACAGCTTACAGGAACTAAAAGTCTATGATGCTAAGGATTAAAAGATAAAGTTCTTAAGACTCCAAAATGTCTGTACCAATGAGAAATTTCAAAGGTCCATTTTATTTCTCTCTCCTAGAATCCAATCATGTAAACTAAAACAATACAGCATTTTCCTCCTTCTACTTTTCCATCAAGTGCCACAGATGAAAGATGTTACCAGTTCTTTTAGAGGGTCCAAACCTAGTTTCTCTGAAATTTTCCATAAGCTAAAATATGGAGAGTCTGGATTAAGTTCTGATCTCTAAGAAGGATCCACATGTTTCCTTTAGAAGTGAATTCAGTTTAGTTTCTCCTTTTTACCAAGACCCTGATCAAAATAGTTCTAGATCTCTAAGTCTACAATGATGCCTCCAATTCTGTGCTCTTTTCCTAAGATTAAAACATTTTCATAATCACAAATTGCTCTATGTAGCTCCTGAACTTAAACTCTTGTTATGATGGATGAAAGACTTTTAGGGATTTTAAGAATATTTGAAATTCTTTGCTCTTAAGATCATTGCTCATTGAGTCTAAAGTCTTTGGCTCAGATACAGTGACACTGGTACCTTCCATCTACTTACTTTTTTTTTTTTTTTTGTTTTTCGAGACAGGGTTTCTCTGTGTAGCTTTGCGCCTTTCCTGGAACTCGCTTTGGAGACCAGGCTGGCCTCGAACTCACAGAGATCCGCCTGGCTCTGCCTCCCGAGTGCTGGGATTAAAGGTGTGCGCCACCACCGCCCGGCTACTTACTTTTTAAATGAGACAGTCTCTTACTTATCAGAAGGAAAAGCTAAAGACTGGAAGTGACTACCGTTGGGATACACAATTGAGTAGAATCCCCTACTAGATGTTCCATATCATAGACCTTTATATTCCTTAACTATTACCTTATTCCTTGCCATTGCCTTCTGCAATGACTCTCAAGGCATTGCTTTAACCACTCCTATGGGGCTCAACCATATTTCAGCTCACCTGGTAGAGGAAACTCTCTGCATGGAAGTGTACAGTGTGAATGTCAGTATCTTGGCCCATGGCTAGCATGTACCAGGCTATTCTTTCTCCTTGGTATACAGTAAGACCCCTGAGATTAGCATAGAGTTTCCCGTTGATGGCTGTAAAAGAAGAAAATGTCTCATATCTTTTCTTTTATTTACATTTTGCCCTATGTCTATTTCCTATCATTTCTGATGATAGCAATAGACTACTAATTTTCTGCATCTCTCTCTTCAATGTATTTTTCACAATAATGATTTCAGAGTTATCTCTAAGCAATTATTCTGACCATGTTATTCTAAAGTTAAAAAAAAAAATTAAGGGCTCCTCCTTTTCCCAAACAAAAACCCCATGGTTCTATAGCTCAACCAATAAGTTAATTCAAAATATACCTCCACACAACCTTCCCAGGTTCATCTCCTACTACCAACAGCTTTGATTCCAATTAGTGAGATTCTTTTCTTCCACTGTCATTCACTTGGTCTCTACATGTTATCTGGATCCTTAGGTTTCTGAGTTTCCCTCTCATAAATACTACTTCCTTATTATTTCCCTTTAAAATTTCACCACCTTAAGAAAACTTTTCTGATTTCCTAAGCTGCTCTATGTAACCTCAATTTCTTATACCACCTTCCCCCTTTGAACTCCTCCAATACTCCTCAGCATGATTCATTAGAACTCTCCAAAATCTGTCTTCCAGGTTTATTTATCTTTTAAGGTGTGAAAGCTTATGCTGCCAACTTGTCTTAGGTTACTAATAAGTAGGAAATAAATTTATTTATTTATTTTCAGAACTGCAAGCAGATAACTCAGACTACAATATACATTATTTTGATGACCACATTCTCTTCCAAAGTCACATCCTATGCGACAAAGACACTGATATTCATTGTTACATCAACTCATATTGGTAGGATTTTACCCAAACCAATTTCCTCCCACATCTCATTTTCTCACACATGAGAGGTAATTTCTACTCTACTCTTCAAGAGGGAAAATAATGGAAGGAACAGCTACAGTATTGCTCTATGTCTACCAACATCAAATTGTGGATTTGGTAAAAAAGAACCAAAATTGCTCAGCTCAGCCACTTCTAGATATATTATCTCTTTGATCATAGAAAAGGGTGCAAATTGGTTCACTAATTGGTTCTGGTAAGATCCTGCCTCTCTTAATGCAGAGAAATTTTGTTGTCCATTGATGTCAATGACAATTTAGAAAACCTATCTGTTGCCAGGAAAGTATCAGCAATCATATTTAGTTATAAAATGAAATTCAGTTTTCCAATTAGCATTCTCAGTAATAAGGCTCATATTTTATCTTAACCATTTATTTTTCTCAGTTGGTTCAGAAATGTAGAGGAGGAGTTAGAATATTATTTTTCTTGTCCCCTTGGACTACAACATTATTTTTATTTGTATTTATATTACTAATGCTCAGAATATGTCCAAAGATACTGCTATCTAGCTACATAGGTAGAGTAATACCTGAAGTTTGGAAAAACGGACACCTGAGTAGGTGAAAGTGGCATTAGCCAAGTCCTGAATTGGGAGGACCTAACTGTGCCCTTATTTCCTCTTTGTTCTAGCCCATTTTATTTCCTGGATTTGACAGAAACTAAAAAAGTTCACTTTGTAAAGTTGTGAATCATCTGTTCTAGTGTGAATCACTCATCTCTCCATCAAGGGGAAATAGATAAAATCTGTAGGACAATGGGATACTACTTTTGAGTTCCATTAGAGTCATTATCAAAGCTGCACCTCACTTTCAGATCAAAGAAATCTTGGGCGAGAAGTGCTAGGGAGAGATCACTTCATACATTCCTCTGCACTTAAGCCCTCCCTCTTATTTGTGACACTCTCTTTTTTGTGAAAAGCTACCAGATAGCTAGAGCAAAAAAAAAAAAAGGCTTTGATGATACAGTTCTCCCACCCTAGATCCATTCAAGAGGCAAAAAGTTCTTCATTATATGTAAGTAACATAAGTTCAGTGTGCTATTTCTGTGACTATCTTCTCCAACTACCCCATGTAAATTCAAACTTTGCTTTAGAAGTAATAAAAATGACAAGTTCTCCTTCATTTGTCTATATTGACAAAACAGATCCGGAATTTAAAGTGGTGATTAAATATCATGCTTTTGAGAGGAAAACAAACTCAGAATTTTGAAACAGAGGGGCACTTACCAGGTGGCTAATTATGTATATAGAGGGCCATAAATGTCCATCTTCCCTTATCTAGTATGTTAAAATTTGCTTGTGTCATGATGATCACTTTAAAGTATTAGCTTCCTTCTTTCTGGGCACCTCATCTAATATGTACCATGTATCTGTTTTGCAAATATATGTGTAGAATAATAAGAAGGACTTTTCTCTAGGTCATTTCTAATCCACTGTCCAACTTTCTCATCTGTTCTAGAATTGTGCACCCATAGATAGAGATGAACCTAGCAAATCATCTCATGAAAACAGTGCAGACTACTTTAAAATAGGAGTAGCTTCTTTTCTACAGACCATGCATTTTATTGCTCTCCAAGAAAGTCGCATCCTGTGGGTTAACATTGTGTGTCTCTCTGGGCCCATAAATTGCGATATTCTCCTCCAGATACCAAGATTGGTTCTCATCAAAGATCAAAAACAGCAAGGCAAATTCCCGGTCCATATCATTCCGACCTCCATGGGGTCCCAAGATGCCCTTTCGACAGACGACTAAGGGTCCCACCAGGCCACTATACATGTCCTGATGAAGGGAGAAAGACATGAGGTTAATCCTGAATAACGGTACTCTATAAAGAGTTGAGTCACAAATAAGTATACTTGAAGCCCCTTAGCACTGCATCATAAATGCCTTATATTCATAAGTATGCTATTCTGATATCTAAATTCATCCTAGCAATCATTTAAGATACAGTTGAGATGTGATGTATAACTTATGCTTTAGCTAGATTGAATTATTCATTAATTTTTAAATATATAACCTAATGCCTTTTTAGGCTGTTTCCTATGCTTGCAGTGCCCTCCTTCCAACATACTCCTTATCTATGGCACACTCTCCTTTAGATTTCCAAGCCCAGATTATAGGCAGCTTCCTTTCTGATACCTTTTCTACTTCCCCTTTGCTCAATTGGACCATACACTTTGAAAGTGGGAAGATACCTTATATTTGTATCATCACCAAGAAAAACACACGTAATAGAGCAGACACGATATACTGCTGATGACTTGTTGTGATTAACTGGCTAGATAGACAAAATTCATTTTCCAGATTAGGAAACAGAGGCAGCATGACTTTAATATAGCTATCCCAAAGTCACTCTGGAGCCAAATTTGTGACTAGGCCCCTAATTTCCTGGCAACTACCCCCATTTTTTTAAAATATGAGAACATACTGCTTTACAAGATCCAAAAAAGATGAGACAAAAAAGAAACTCCTCATGACAAGTATCTGATGTCACATACTACCTTCATCCTTCTTATTGACTATTAAAATAAGGCAAGCATTTGAGGAAATTTCCTCAAAGCCCAGGTATTACAGAGCTGTTTGTTGGTTGGTTCTTTGTTTGTTTGTTTGTTTGTTTTAACTACATCTTTTGTCATCATTTTACCAGGTAGTTTGCTCATTTCTGGGATCCTTCTTTCAATATTCAATTTTTTTTCTTTACCTTGATGGGATCCACTGCAGAATAATAAATCCAGGAAACACAAGCAGAGTCACTGGGCCCAGGACCAGATCTTTCTGGGATATTCCACTGGTAAGTAAGTACTTCACCTAAGAAGGGTAGCAAGGCAAATGTCTCATTGGAGCAAGTGCAGCATTTCTCTCAATTTCTAAAAGCTACAGTAGGTGAGGCTCAGCTCCCCCAAGATCCTTCTCCATCATTCTCATAGCAGGCTCCACTTTATTTTTGTTACACTTTTTTCTCCCTTCTTGGAAAAACTCAGTATTTCACTTCTAGCCTGTCCATGCACAAAGCTCAGGCCTAATCCTGTGGTGATGTAGTCCTGCTGCTGTTTTCAGTAGCTGTGATGTTGTATCATTTGCTTTCCGTGTACATCTTGATTTCCTGCTGTTGCCTCCTAAGTGAAACTGTTTCCATAAGCCCTGTGCTCATCTCCCTCCTCTCCTTTAATACTCTCCAGAAGATTTCAGTCACATACCATGATCTATGGCTTGAAAAATCTTATACTTTAAGCAAGACCTACCTTGTTACTAAGCTCTGAATCCAAGATTGTAATTAAATATTAGGTATCATTTAATACTGTCCTAATAGCAGATAAAAATGGAAATTCTCTATTGGGGGATATACTTCAGTGGTAGAGCATCTTAATATGTATGAAGGCCTAGCTTCAACCTTCAGGACCAAACACAACCTAAAATTGCTATAAATTTAATTCTCTCATTTGAAAGAAATACTTTTTTTTTCCAAATTGTGCCTCCAATGTTTAGAAACAGCATACCTATTCTCCTAGTTGACAAGACTCAAAACTTTAGTTTTCTTTGCCATTTTAACGTTCATCTATGCAACATCCAATGAAGTACCAAGTCTTGTGATTCTATCTCTATAATATATTTTAGGTTCTTTAAGATTTATTTTATTTTAAATTCACATATATGGGGAGTATGTCCACATACTGCTAATGGCCATTTAGACAAGAAGGCACCAAGACATTCTTCGGAGCTGGAGCCACAGATGGTTGTAAGCTGCCTGGTGTGCATTTTAGGAACTGATTTCACATCCTCTGGAAGAGCAACATTTGCTCTTAACCATGGATTCATATCCCTACTCCAGATACTTTCAAGATTCTCAAGTAGCTGCCATCAGAGATTATATAAACAGAGATTATTATAAACAGATTATATAGCAGTTATATATATCTATATCTATATCTATATCTATATATCTCAGTAAACAGATTATAGTAACAGTAACAACGGTTAAAAAAGAGGAGACTATGCAGGAAGCTCCAAGAATGCAAATTTGTTGAGTCACCACCCATAATAGGGTGAGGTTTTCAATGGTTTTTTAAATTATCCATGTTCCTGTAAGTAACCACTGAACCATTAATGCTACTTTAAGCACCCCAATAAACTCACCAGTTCGTGAAGGTAGAGTGGTTCGCTTGACCAATTGTCACTACTCAATCTTTGGTGAATAGACCTCTGTTCATATCTCTCCAGGAAAAGTAAACTAGCTCCTAAGAAGTCCCTCGGCCTCTAACCTTGCCTTTTCCAACCAACTTCCAACTATTCTCTTATTGACCTTCTATAGCAACTTTAATGAGATATGATTTACAAACCATATAATTCACTCATATCTAACTACCCCAGTTTGATCATTGTGTACTTATATGCATATATAGAATTACCACATATAGCCCATAAATATATTCAATTAATTAAAATAAACAACAAATTAAATATTGTACCCCCAAATAATATACTTTCACATAGTTTTATAGCTACTACAATGATCTATTTTATAACAATTCATTACAATGAACAAATCGCTATACTCTTGTCACCCTATAATCTACTCACCACTCCAATGCAACCACAAGCTTGTTTTCTATCTCATCCTGAACATACAAATTGAATCATATGTTTTATTGTCCTTCTCTTACAAGATTATTTCATTGTTATAATATTTTCATGGTCTACACATGCTACTATATATACAGTTGCTTTTTATTGCCAAAGTATATGGCATTTTATGGATATATTACATTTTATTCATTCACTCATCAGTTGATAGATATTTGGGTATTTCTACTTTGAGTGTAATATGAATAACACTGACATTAAGGACTACAGTTGTAGCTCAGTGGTAAAGTACTTTCCTAGCATGCGTGAGACCCTTGGTTTAATTCACAAAACCATAAAAGTGCCACTATCAATTATCATACAGGTTTTTATATGAAGTTATGTTCTCATTAATCTTTGATGTATAACTTAGGATGAAATTATTGAATTATAGAGTAATGCCAATTTTTAACAATTGGAAGAATTGGCAAGCTGATTTGTAAACCAGTGGAATCATCAAACATCACTATGTAGATTCTACTTTCTTAATATTCTCATAAGAACTAGTTATCTATTTTCTTAATTTTGTTTTAGTGAAGGAAATAGGCTATTCTAATGAAATTCTGATATGTTGTTATCTCATGTCTAATGATGTTGAGAATTTTCTCTGGCATTTACTGGTATTTTTAAATACTTTTTGGGAAAATATTTATTTAATCATTTGCTCACTGATTTTTTTGATAAAACAATAAAGAACTCTTAGAATTTAACGAAACAAAAAAAACTGCCCAATTAAAATGAGCAAACTTTTGAACAGACAATTTGCTAAAGATGATATAAAAATATAAATAAGAACATAATTTTCATCATCATCAGCTATCAGGAAAACGAAAACCAATATCAAATATCACAATGATCTTTTTTGTAGCTTAGTGGTAGAATTTTCCCTAACATGCACAAGGACATGGGCTTGACTCCACCATCACTAAGTAAGCGCAATATTATATCACTGGTCACATATGATTTAATAACTTCAAGTAATTCTCATGTTCACTAAAGCTGAAAACTACTGAACTATATATCATCTTGGAACCCATCTCCTCTGGTATTAGACCAGAAGATGCTAAACTGAGCTGATGAAAGCTGCTTGACCCTGAGTATTGTAGTTTTTAAAAATATATTCACACTCTCAGTTATGTCCCAAGTGCTGTTTAAATTTGTAGCCCCGTATCCTGTTCTCCTTGGTGACTCCAAATTTTTACCACATTCTTCAAGTCTTGCCTGTTTTGTACCTCACTCCCCAAGACTCATTTTCACTTGGATTTTACATAATCATAATAATAATGGCATTGCCAAATACTTGTATAGCACTTACTACACATTGAAATCCTGAATTTTCAAAAAGAAACCTTTGTAGATATGAAGTGAAGGTCACAGATAGATGTTAAAATAGCTTTCCAAATGCCACACAGAGGACTCCAGAATTCTGCTCTTACCATCTAGATTAGTAACTTTTCTTGTCCTTGTGACAAACTATCTAATATAAACAACTTAAAGAAAGACAGAAAGATTCATCTTAAGTCATGGTTTCAGTACATCGTGATTAGCAGGGAACAGTAGAGCAAGCAGCTCCCAATATAATATTTAGGAAGTAGAGTGAGGTAATGCCTATACATTTGGCTCCTTACTCAGAAGGCCAGTATATAGGATGTTGCTATCTATGTACAGAATAGGTCTTCCTGCCTTAATTTTTCTGGAAATGCCATCACAGACACCCTTAGAGGGGTATTTCACGAATCTCTACCAACGCTTCAGTTCAACTAAAGTGAGAATCAAAATTACCCTTCACATAGCACGCTGAAGGCTCTCATTTCTTATACTACCACTGCAACTCTAGTACCACATGTGGATTTAGATCCAGCAGTCACTCCAGTCTCTGATGAGGACGTTCTCTTTTTCTGACTTAAGATTACTACTTTGATGAGAGCTCTCAATGCCATTTCTTCTTGTGGATTTCTACATTTAGTTCATCCTCCCACCTGGCTCTGTAACTTCTCCTCTGCTCAGCACTCTTCCCATATAGACCTTGCTCAGTTCTCTCCTTGCTTCTGTCGTTTCCCCCAAGTTGCTGTTTCTCTCAACTTAATCTGGATTCCTTTACAGTTAAGTATTTTGCAGTTCCACCAACATTTACTATCTCAATTTCTTCATTTCATTTTCACTACTTAACCCTCTATCTGTTGCTGGTCCAAATGTGTCCCTTCCAAAATATTATATATTGAAGTCTTAACCCCTATTAGCTCAGACTCTGACCTCATTTAGAAACATGGTCAAATTAGAAACAAGAGGAAATCAGTTTTAAATGAGGTTAGTAGGGCAGGCCTCCAATATTACCCAGTATCCTTATAAAAAGGAGAACTTTAGGTGTAGAGTCACACATAAAAAGAAAATGACCTGAAGGTAGAGTGCCCTGGTTGGTTGTTTGTTTTTGTCAACTTGATACCAGTTAGAGTTATTTGGAAAGAAGAATATCAGTTTAGAAACTGCTTCCATCAGATATAGGCAAGTGTGTATGGCATTTTCTTAATGATTAATGAGGGAGGGCCCAGCTCACTGTGGGTTGTACAACCCTTGGGCAGGTGGTCCTGCCTGAGCATATCAGACAAGCTTATTATGCTGCAAAAGACAGAGATGGATAAGGGGAACTGCACAGGCCTTTGGAGCCCAAAAGATTGTGATCCTATCCCAGACATCAAGCACTGAACTGTTTACAGTGTTGTATTTTGGTTTGGTTCTGGTCTGTTTGTGACTGTGCCCTTGTTCTTCCCTTTTGGAGTAAGAAGGTATGTAACTTACATTTTATTTTATAGGAGCCCACAGCTGAGCAATTTTAGACTTTTACCCTTAGGTAGGTAGGTGGTCCTGGATGGTATAAGAAATCAAGCTGAGCAAGCCATGATGAACAAGCCAGTAATCAGTGTTCCTCCACGGTCTTTTTTTTTTTTTTTTTTTTAAAGATTTATTTATTTATTATGTATACAGCATATATGACTGCAGGCCAGAAGAGGGCACCAGATCTCATTACAAGTGGTTGTGAGCCACCATGTGGTTGCTGGGAATTGAACTCAGGACCTCTGGAAGAGCAGTCAGTGCTCTTAACCTCTGAGCCATCTCTCCAGCCCCTCCTCCACGGTCTTTGCATCACTTCCTGCCTCTTATATTCCTGCTCTGATTTTCCTCAGAGAGGGATTGTGACCTGAGAGATCTAAGATGAAATACACCCCTTTATTCACAGGTCGCTTTTGGTCATAGTGTTTGACACAACAATAGAAAACTAAGGCAGAAACAAAGAAAAGATGGCTATCTATAATCCAAAAAAAGACTGAGGTCTGGAAAAAAAATGCTTTCCCTCACAGCCATTAAAAAAAAGAGGCAATCTTTCCCAGTCCCTCCTTAGTGTAGACCTCTAGTCTCTAGCAACTTGAGACAATTCAGTTTGTGATATTTCCTTGGGCTACTCCTAGAAAGTTAGTACAACTTCCATATGACAAAAATTAGTAAATAATTTGGATTCAGGTATGTCTAACCCATGGCCCACAGGCTGGAGAGGTGAGCAAGAAGTACAATCCTCCCAAAATACATTTTGCCCGGAAAAAAAAGATAGGGTAGCTCAAAAGGAAACAGTTTCTAAGAGCTCAGGAATCGGGTGTTTGATGTGGTGGTTTGAATGCGAATGAGAATGGGCCCCATAGACTCATATATTTGAATACTTGGTCCCCAGTTGGTGGAAGATTAGGAGGTGTAGCCTTGTTGGAGGAGGCAAGTCATCGGGAACTGGCTTTAAGGTTTTAAAAGCCTTTGCTGTACCCAGTTAGCTCTCTCTCTCTCTCTCTCTCTCTCTCTCTCTCTGGAAATATATATATATCTCCAACTTGCAGATAAGGATGTAAGTTCTCAGCTACTGGTTCCTCCGAACCATGCCTGCCTCCCAGCACTGGAGAAGCAGAAGTAGAGAGTTTGAAGCCAACTTGGTTTACGTGCAAATTCCAGGCCAGCCACGGTTACATAGTGAGACTCTCTCAAAAAAAAAAAATCAGAAATAATACCTTGGGATGCATCTAACCAAAGAAGTAAAAAACCTCTATATTAAAAACTTTATAACACTAAAGGAAGAATTAAAGCAAGCTACTATGAAATGAAAATGCCTTCCACAGTTATGGACTGGAAAAATAAATATTGTGAAAATGGTTACAGTACTCAAGGCAATCTACAGATAAAATGCAATCCCCATATAATTCCAATGCTGTTCTTCACAAAACTAATAAATAATCTTAAAATTCATGTGGAAGCACACACACAAAATACCAACAATAAATGCCTTGAATAGCCAAAGCAATCCTGAGCAAAAAGAATAATCCTTGGTTCCGTGTTAAACTGCCCAGGGAGAGTTAGAAAATATCATAGAGCTGGCATAAAGCAGAAACACAAATCATCAGAATAGAGAACCCAGATATAAGCCCATGTATCAAGAGCCATCAGATACCTGAAAATAATTTCAAAATATGCATTTTAGAAAAGGCTCTTCAAAAAATGTTGCTAGTAGAACTGGACAGTCACATGTAGAAGAACAAAATTATAGCCCTGTCATGTCTCACTCAGTACAAAAACCAACCTCAAATTAACCTAAAATCTAAGCCTCAACTGCTGAAATTGTTAGTTGGAATAGTATGAAAAACATCTAAAGGCATAGGTGTATGAAAGGACTTTCTAAAATTAGATTACATTTGCTCAGTAAATAATACCAACAATTGGCAAATAAGAAATTCCCAATCATTGCACGGAAAGGAAACAGTTAAATGAGTAAAATGACAGGGTATAGAATGGAAGAAAATCTCTATGAGTTGAATATCTGATAAGACTAATGTCTAGAATACAAAAAGAACTAAAAAAGAACTAGACCACAAGAAATCAAACAATTCAATTAATAAATGAACTAATGAACAGTTCTCAACAAATGAAGTATAAATAGCTAATAAACAAATAGAAACTGTTCACACTCACTAGTCATCAAAGAACTACAAATTAAAACTACAGTGAGATTCTGTCTCATCCCAGTCCCAAAAGCAGTCATTAAGAAAACATAAAAAGAACCCAAGAACCAGGCAGTGGTGGCACACACCTTTAACCCCAGCACCCGTGATGCAGAGACAGGAGGAGCTCTGTGAGTTCGAGGCCAGACTGGTCTACAGAGCGAGATCCAGGACAGCTAGGGCTGTTACACAGAGAAACCCTGTCTTAAAAAAAAAAGAAAGAAAAGAAAGAAAAAGAAAAGAGAAGAAAACAGAAAAAGAAAGAACTCTTACGCACTTCTGGTTAAAACGTAAACTATTCTAGTTATTATGGAAATCAGCATGGGGGGTCTTCAAGAAAAACTCTCCTGGGTATTTACGGAAAAAATTCCAAGTAAACACATCACAAACATCCTTGCATATAAATATTTTATTACAGATTTATTCTCAGTAGCTAAGTTATAGAAGTGACCTGTGTGTCCAACAGAGGGTAGGACAAGGAAAATGGGGTTTACATAAACAAAGAATCCTTGTCTGCCATAAAGAAGAACAAGGTTATACCATTTGCAGGAAAATGCATAAAACTGGAGAGAATCATATTAATCAAATAAAGCCAGAAATGCAAATATTTATCATTTTTGATCCATATATCATTCTTAGATTTGTATAGAGATACAAAAATCATGTGCATGACCTGAAAGTGTAAGTAAAGGGAAGGATAAGAACGAGGAGAGTAAGGGAGGGAATATGAGGGAAAATGAGCTCAATGTACATTATATACTTACATGAAATTGTCTTTACAAAATACTGTGCCATATGTAATGTATACATACAATAAGAAATTGAAAAAATGATGAAAAATAAATTTTAAAAGGAAAAACTTATAAAGACAACTAGAGAATACCCTAAAACGAATGAAAAAAAAAAAACCAAAACTGATGAGATGTTATATATACATTTATAGCTATAGAACCAACATTAAGCTGGACGAAAGATAAAGGGATGGTTCAGGTATGGTTTGACTATCACCTAACACTTCATGTGTTGAAACTGACTTCATATTGTAAAGTAGTAAAATGGTACAGATTTGATCCAGCTTCTCTGGGGAAGTTACTAGGGTAGAACACTGGAAAAAGAATCCTCTGGTTTTATGAGGAGACTAGACAGGCATACACACGTACATTTTCTGTCTCATCATGTGATGGTTCGCACTGTCTCAAAATTCAAGGTCATTGCTGAATGAGGTTCTCAGACCTTCTACTTGTAGAATTGTGAGCCAAATAAACCCCTCTTATTTATGAAGTATACTGTCTCTGGTATGTCCTTATAGTAATCAAAAGTTACATATTAGTACACATAAACAACCTAACTTACACTGTAAGGAACTTGGAAAGTTACAAAGTAAACCATGTTGTACACAAGGTATTTTTAACTGAAATACAGGAACTACTTGAAATACAAAGGAAAAACCTGCATTAGAACTCCCATTGACCAGTTAATTCCCTCTAGCTTTCATTGAGCTACACTCCCAGACTAAGAATGTTAAGGTGCTTAAAGCAACAAACCAGAAAACTAAAGTAGAAGGACTGAAAAGCCTTTGTCCCTTCACTTAAGTGTTCCAACTCACCAGGCTCAGCAGCCTGTGGCCAGCCAGTACTAGATTCTAGAACTCCATGGGCATGTACAGAATATGGTCGACTGGCATTGTTCTTGAACACCACAGTTAAGATATCACCAACCTCTCCTCTGATAAGTGGACCTGATACATACAAAAGAAGTACAAGTTTCATTAGTAGGGGAGTAAGTGGGAGACATTAAAGAATAAGGCATAACTGCAAGATCCATGGAGCTGAGAACTAACCTTCCCAAGACTAGCATCATTTTCAGATTCAGAAGTCCTAAAATTGGCATTGCAGCATGAGGGTACCCCCAAAACAGAAATATGCTTCCTATTATCCCCACTTTCCTCATCCTGTTTTTCTCTACAAAATAACCAAAAGCTCGAGAGATTCTGAGTTTTGCAGAATCATTGATAGTAAGGACTAAAATCTTGCCATACCCAGCACAGAGAATTGCTGTACTCTCTTCAGAGGCCAGTGGGTCCTGTCTGGTCTAGGATGAGAATAAAGAAACCCTTCGTACAAAACCAGCATATAGCCTTGATGAAACTGAGGTATGGGAGAATTGTGGCTCTGTGTATCATTTTTGTTTTTACTTGCTGGAGTTCCTAAACTCTCCTGCCTCTGGAATCTTTTAAAATCTACTACCTTTAGAGGACGCATGTCTCAAAGGTATGGAAAATCGGAACATTTTGGTTCATGCTACAGCAGATTTCATGTTTATATCATTCCCTTCGGTGCTTATTTTCACAGCCACATTATAAAATAGGGCCATACTTTTAATATTCCACACGGAAAAGCTGAGAATGAGGGATGGGAAAGCCTCCCTGATACAATGTAGCTGTCCTAGAAGCAACCCATCCGTCTAGATGCCAGGATGTAAGTAGAATTCTCTTACCCAGGATTCCCAAGTGCTCCTCTGGTCCAGACCTTGGCTGAGGAGTCGTGAAAGTACCATCAGTGTATTCCCTGAATACAGCTTTCTTATATTTGGAACCCAGGAGCCCATCCTTGTTGCTCAGGAAAACATGACCATAACTAGAAGAATTCAAAGACTGTTATTAGCACCTGACCTTCAACCTTTATTTTCAGTTATGGGGAAATTAATTTAGAACTATTCTCATGTCAAATATGAAAAAATGTAGATCTATCCATTATAATGTCAAATTGTATTACCATGATTGAAAAGAGTAGGTTTCTGAAGCAACGTTTATTATTTTCCCATCATCCAGATAGATATTTGCAGTATGATTAACTGAGCTGAGAATCAAAAGCCTGTGGCTTTGGTTCCAGCCTTAATAGAGTCTTAGATTTGGAATTATTTTAACAAAAGTAGAAGGCACCAAGTGTCAGCTGAGCATCCATAGCTGCTGTTGGAGATCAAAAGTGGGAAGATACAGGATCTTACAGCTTTCTCATTATAGGACACTTAACAGTTGACAGTGTTTATCACTCATTTTAACAGTGAACATTCCAAATAGGTGAGTCTCAGAGGTACAATCACTAGCCCAGAATTGACAGGATTGTGTACAAAGACACTGTCACCCAGAAGGGGCGGCAGGACTGAGAGTTAAGTCCACTGTTCCTACCCTGTCTTCTTCTCTAGTAATGTTTTTTCAGCTATGCAAGATAGATGAAATCAAGGCTGACAGAAAAAAAGTCCCATTTCCTAACTCCCACAGAAAGTCCACACGAAAACTTTACCCTAAACTTATAAACTTCAACCTAAACTTATAAAGGTCAAGAACTGACAAAGAACAGTGAAAGCACCACAAACTACAGAAAACTACAAATACTTTGTAGCTCAATTTGTATTCTTTCCTCCCTCTTTTTAGTAATAGAACCACCTAGGTTTTATTGGGACACATGGCTGTTCACACAGATGTTACATTGTAGCCATATGAATAAGCTTAGGAAACAGAACAGGAGAAAAAAATGATATATACAACTTACAGGTCTATCCTTACAGGCAATGTTGCTTATCCTAACTTGAAAGCTAGGAATAGCCACAACTAAAATAAGCATCTTAGTCCCAGAGATGAAAGTAGGAGATTCGGGCAGCATAGTTCACCTGCCAGACCTGGACTGTTCACATGTAAATAACAGATAAAATTGTAGCCCATTTGAACTACTCTCTTTTGGACTTTTTCTGTTTCCAAGCTTGGTCTGTACCTCAGTAAAGGATCTTGAGGCATTTCATTGCTTGAGTAAACCCCTATGAACTTTAAATCCCACTGTAGGTAAGATTCAGCTAATTAGAAGGGAAGCAAGGCTAAGAGGGCAAGAATGTAGAAGGTCTTTTTCTTCCGCTCAGTAGCTAATGAATATAGAAGAAACAAGGGCTGGACTTCAGCATCCTTCCACTCTAGTCTCATTTCTTTTGGCATCATATTAGGTGGTTATAACCACGCCTTCCTACTTTTAGTTTCAGTCTGTTCACCTGTGAAATGACTTGCTGAATCGGTGGTCTCTCCTTTTCTGAAGCCTTACCTGTCCTTCTCAGATGTGTTATGCCATTCCAGTTCCCAGCTTCTATCAGGGCAATAATCCCATTCCAACTCTTCTGCCATGATGTAATAGACTCTAGAAGCTTGGTAGTGTTGACGTGGGCTGTCTTGACGACCAGAACACTGGGAGACATTGTAAATTGCCCTCATCCCTGCTTCTCTGTGGCTGCCTGCTTGGCAATAGATTTCGAATGTCCCTAAAAGATAATCAGAGAGCAAAATCAGAGTGAAAACACCACTAGAAGCATGTGGGGATTTCTTCCCTTCTCCTAGCTATACTTCAGAGGAAAGATAGTCTAAGAAAAAGCTCTTCTATACATTAAAGTGCATTACAAGTTTGTTGAGACTAATGAGCACAGAAGAGATCCAGTTCCAAAGCCACTGGGTTAAAAATTAAAGTTTTCCAAAAGAATAAGGAACTCCTCTGTTCTTAGATAGTGGGTGACCCTATTTGTTACTTATTAGCTATCTAAGCTTGTATGGGTTTCCAATTCTCTGTATGTTTCAATTATCCCTTCAGTAAATTGAGAATCATTTTTCTTACTTCATTTGGCTGTTTTACAAATAAACATTATATGGATGGTAAGACTACTTAGCAAGTCAAGATATTTGCCCCAGGAGTCTGGCAATCTGAGCTCAATCCTTGAACCCACAGTGGAAGTAGAAAATCCACATCTAAAAGTTGTACTCTGATTTTCCTATGTGTATCATACCATACACACAACCACACTCACCTGTACATATCATATACAAATACATGGCCAATAGTAATTAATCCAGGAAGAAATACAATATATCACTATGTCTAATAAGTGTTCAGTATGTGAAATTATAAGTAAACAGTAAACAATACAGCTCAATAATTATTTGATAGAAATATTGACCTATTTTTTTCCTGTGAAATACTCCCCAAACCTAAAAACCTAATAACAACAACAACCAAACAAACCATATGAATTTAAATAGACATTTGAAAGAAACTGTCTGACCATATAAATGCTTACATGATAGATCTTTTTCTTTTTCTTCCTTTTTTTTTTTTGAGAACTCACTCTGTAAACCAGGCTGGCCTCAAACTCAGAGATCCACCTGCCTCTGCCTCCCAAGTGCTGGGATCAAAGGTGTGTGCCACCATGCCCAGCTTACATGATAGGTCTTTTTGAAGGTGCCATCTTAGGTTTCATACCATGAAATGTTCAGATATATATCTTGGATATCTGTGATGTAGAGCTATATGGACTTGTCTCTAGTCACAGGTTTCTGTATCACAGATTTTAGCTCAGATTATGCTAATCAAATGGAGCTAACTATCTTAGATTTATTATTTTCATTGTTCCCTTACCTTGCTGCCTACTGCCTAGCCTACCACTACAAATATTTCATCAATTGCAAAGCCTCTTATGAACTGTCCCTGAACTATTGATCCAGCCCAATTTTGTACACTCAGTTGTTTTATCAACTAAATCTGTTTCTGACTGCTTTCTTGCATATCTCATTCCTATCTTGTATTTTTTCACGCATGCTGTTATTCCTTTCTAAAATTTCTGTTCTTCCGAGTCTCACACTCTATGTGAGCCCACTCCTTTTCCAAGACCCAATTCAGTTTATCTCCTTTAGAAACCCCTCCCTGATGGTTTGGGCCCTAATTGACACTATACTCTTGGCCTTTCCATTATTGTGTGTTCCGTACTTAAATGGCACGGTAAAAGACTTAAATGTTCTGTATTTAAAATTAGTGCCTTACATTATTTGATAGACATCTTGAAAGAAAAGGTCTTCTCATTTCTTTCCATATCTACTTCTGAAGACTTCTATTTCCATCATTCTCTGTATCTATTCCATCAGTAAATCCTATCACCTCTTCCTTAAAGATCACTCTGTCACTCCATTCTTAGGGTGCAAACTCAGCTTAGCCCTTCCACACCAGCCCTCTCAGTCTTCCCTTCTAGTCTATCTCTATTCATTTGTATCACCTAGTGACCCACAGAAGCCCTCTTTTCCAGTGATCCCACAGTCCACTTGTCTAGGACACAGACAGGGCAACAGCAAACCACAGACTAAAACACCCACCTATCAGAGAGAAGACCAGATATTCACTCTAAGAATCATCTCAAACATCATAATTCTAGATGTCTCAATCCCAGTGCAAAATTGCAACATGAGGCTGGGCGGTGATGGGGCATGCCTCTAATCCCAGCACTCAGGAGGCAGATACCTCTAATCCCAGCACTTGGGAGGCAGAGGTAGGCAGATCTCTGAGTTCAAGGCCAGCCTGGTCTACAGACTGAGTTCCAAGACAGCCAGGGCTACACAGGAAACCTCTGTCTCAGAAAAAAAAAATTGCAAGGGGAACAGCCAGGAAAATATGCCTCCAGCAGAATCCAGCTACCTTACTGCAGAAGGCCCCACAGAATAGAATATAGCTGAAACACAAGTCAAGGACTTCAAAATAGCAATTATGAATATGTTCAAGGACATTAAAGAGGATATGAGTGAATCATTTAATGAAGCCCACGGGGCGGGGGGAAGAGTTGAAGGAAATAATGAAAGCAATACAAGAAATGGTAGTGGAACTTAACAAAATGGAATAATTAAAGGAAACCCAAACTGAAATAAAAACCGGAAATGGAAAACGTAGAGTGACACACAGAAACCTCAGAAGACTCATGAAGAGATTACATGACACAGAAGAGAGACTCTATAACTTTATATCATGTAAAACATCCCTTAGCTTACCGCACTTCAATTCGTGCTTTCTCTCTCTATCTCTATCTTTTTAGATAGTCACCTTATATAGCCAAGGCTGGCCTTGAACTTACTATGTAACAGAAGCTGGGCTCAAATTTGTCATCTTTCTGTCTCCATCTCCACAGTTCTGGGAATACATGCATGCATCACCATGGTTAGCCATACTGACCTTTACTAATGCTTGAACAAGCTATGGTTGTTCTCATTTTAGGGTATTTACAATCACTTAGCACTCTCTGCTCAGAAATCCTTACATTGTTCCTTTTCATACCATTTAGGGTTCAGCTTATGTGTCATATTTTTTCAGAGAGTATTTCTCTTGGACACATTTCTTTAATTAAAATAACATCATCATGATTTTATCATATCACTGCCTTTTGTTTTCTAATCTGTATTAGTATCTCAATTTATTTATGTATATAATCAATCATAAGTTCAAAGCCAGTCTGGGGTACATAGCAAATTTCAACACAGCTGTATAGCAAGATCATGTCTCAAAACACAAAAGTTCACATACACAAAAAGATTGTTATGCATCTTATTTACTCCACTATCACAATCTTAACAGTAAAAAGTGTTCAATTAATAGGGGTTTGATGACTAAATGTATCAGCAAATGGAATGATTTATGCACACTGCCCCAAAGCCAGGCCAGTGAGGTGGCTTAGGAGGTCTGGGCACTTGCTGCCAAGGCTGACAACCTGAGTTGGCTTTTGGACCTCACATGACAGAAGGAGAAAACCAACTCCACAAGTTGTCATCTTACCTCCGTGCAAGTTCTGTGGCACGCAGATCCCCATAAATTAATTAATTCAATTAAAAAATTGAAAAACAATTGTTACACTATGGGTCAGAAACTAGCATTTAAAAAAAAAAGTGGGCCCCCCAGCTCCCATCTTGCTCCGGACTTCCCTTTTGGAACACTGGTGAGTGGCCTTCCTTGCCCCGGAACCCATCCCTGGGCACCAGCCACTCCAGGGAAGACTTGCCCAACTTGGCCCCAGGTTCTGGCCACCGGGCAGGTTCCCTGCTAGCCCCACCGGGAAGGATCCCCTTCTCCAAGACCCCTGGCAGACCCTGCCGTCTCCACGCCCTGCCCCCACGCCCATCCGCCTGAGCCCCAAGCCTCTTCCTGAGACTTAGAGGCCGGCCCGAGCTCCCATCTTGCTCCGGACTTCCCTTTTGGAACACTGGTCTGTCTGAACCAAGTGTGCGGATAAGGCCAAGAACGAACCACAAGGAGATGGGCAGACGTCAAGGCAGAAACACATACAACAAAATGAATATCAATACAGCATCACCAGGCCCTAGCCCTCCTCCAACACCTAGACCTGAACATCAGAAATTGGAGGAAGCAGAAGAAAACAGCCTTATGAATGACATCATGAAGAAGCTAGAGGCTTGTGTAGAGGAAAAGACAAAAAAAGGGAAGAACGCTGTAAACAACTAGAGGAAAGGGCAAACAAATTAGAAGAAATCAATAAAGTCCTGGAAGAAAACAATAAAGTACTGAGAGAAAATCAAGAAAAATCAATGAAACAAATGAAGGAAACAGTCCAAGACCTGAAAAGGGAAATAGAAAAAATGAAGAAGACACAAACAGAGGGAATGCTGGAAATAGAAAATCTGAGAAAACGATTGGGAACTTCAGATGCAAGTATAATCAACAGAATGCAAGAGATGGAAGAGAGGATCTCTAGCGTTGAAGATACAGTAGAAGAAATACATTCATCAGTCAAAGAAAACACTAAAGCCAACAAAGTCATGAACCAAAATGTCCAGGAAATTTGGGACACCATGAAAAGACCAAACCTAAGAATAATAGGGGTCGAAGAAGGAGAAGAATACCAACTCAAGGGCACAGAAAATATATTCAACAAGATCACAGAAGAAAACTTTCCCAACTTAAAGAAGGAAATGCCTATGAAGATACAAGAAGCTTATAGAACATCAAACAGACTAGACCCCCAAAAAAAGTCCCCTCGCCACATAATAGTTAAACAACTAAACGTACAGAATAAAGAAAGAATATTAAGAGCAGCAAAGGAAAAAGGCCAAGTGACATATAAAGGCAAACCCATCAGAATAACACCCGATTTCTCAATGGAGACTTTGAAAGCCAGAAGAACCTGGACAGATGTAATGCAGACACTAAGAGACCATGGATGTCAGCCTAGACTAATATACCCAGCAAAACTTTCAATCACCATAGATGGAGTGAACAAGACATTCCATGACAAAGCCAGATTTAAACAATACTTATCCACAAACCCAGCCCTACAGAAAGCACTAGAAGGAAAATTCCAACCTAAGGAAGTCAGATACACCCTCGAAAACACAGGCAACAGATAAAGTCACAGCAGTAAACCCCAACATATAGAAGTACACATACATCACCACCAAAAAATAACAGGAATGAACAATCACTGGTCATTAATTTCCCTCAATA